AGTAAACAAGTACATTACTCAGTTTTTGGTAATGAGGAGGTATCGAATGGTCCCTTTCAATTTTAAAGTGCTTGCAAAATTTGGCCTTTGCTGGAATTGCTCGCAAAAATTAGACGAGTGCTCGCTTGTTCGTGGTCGCAAAATTTTTGTAATTGCTTGCATGCTCGGATTTTCGTGAATATGTGCTCGATTGTTGGAATTTTTGTGAATCCTTAGGGTTAGGGTTAGTCTGGTAGCTTTTAGCCGTCTTCTCACGGTTACATTTAGTGTTCTGTCATTTTTTGTAAATATGTTGCTCAAATGAAATATTGCTCATTTTGAACAACATATGATCTTCCAGAACAATATAAAATTAGCAAAATACATATCTCTTACTAACCGAGTTCGAGGTCCGTACGGTAAGTTACGGACCGAGTTTTTCCCCCCATCGATTTATGGCCCAAGCGCGAAGTGCGCAGGCCATAAATCGAAGGGGAAAAAACGAGGATCCGTAATTTACAGTACGGACAGAGAAGACGAGGTTATTAAGATTTTTATAATATCTCTACTGTGTGCCTGACGCGCGTTCGTGAACGATTTCTATTCACACGGAACGGCTTCAAATTTCTGACGCACGTCAAAAGCAAAACGAGCTAATTTGAAATCGTTTTTAAGTCGTTAGCACGCTTTAATACACAACTTTTACTTGCTATAAAAGTTAAGAACACTTGGCGATAAATCACGGAACAGTTTGGCAACAAAAACAACTTCAAATTTTAGCGGGCCTTATAGGAGAATACGGCCCGCTAAATTGACCAATCACAACGCGCGTACTAACTGAGAGATATAATAAATTATCCTACTGTTTATTAGTGTTACAATATTGTATAAAGTGACTTCAATTGTGCAGTTTCCATACCTAGAAATGTTTCTTGGAGGCTAACAGCTCAAGTATTAGAATTTGCAACAATTGCTCTCCATTGTTTAATTTTTTAAGATTTTTCATATTTTTTTTATAACTGGTATTCAATGTTTTTATGTAAAATGTTAAAGGACAGAATCTCTTCTTTTCAGTAATGTACAGGTTTGTGGGATTTTTGTATATTAAAAAGAAGTAATGACCCAAGAACTTCGGCAATGTTGTTATTAATATACAAAACCCCCTCCCCCAGATGTAAGCCCTCGGGGACTGGGGGCCTCAGTCCCCGAGGGCTTACAAGGAAACGTTGTTTTGCGCCAAGTATTCTGGCTGACACCTCCAAAACAGGACAATAGACGCAACACTCCCCCAAAGAAAATCGACAAAGGGCGTCAGCAAGACTTCAATTTAGCTCGGTCAACACCTCTGCTTGACTTGATTACCGAGACATCTTCCTTTCAGACGACACTTTTTCGAATTGCAAGCCTCTAGTAAGCATTATTAAGTTCAGAAATTTTGGACTTTGAAGACGCAAGATAAAAGGCATCTTCAAACTTCGCCATGCCATTGTAGCCAATTATTTGTGACATTTCCCACGACGCGATGCAAGGATAAAAAACGATCTCTGATTGGACAAGTTTCAATAGGTGAAAGTGTCGCTAGAAAGTTCTTGAAAATGAAACGGATTCTGTAGTTGGCTAATTTCGGCAAAGGATGGTCATTCGGATGTGCGCAGCTTTTTATTTTTTATTTATTTTTTTTTGGGGGGGGGAGGGGGTAGTGTTGCTTGACATCGAAGTAATGGCATAGTAAAAGCTTCGGGGGTGTGGCGTGTTGTTCACTGAAATGAACCCATCTCCCTTTTCTCAAAAAAGAGGTAAAACAGTGTAACTTTCTTTCAATTTGCAAATTTTGGTTATTCTCTTAAAAATTAAAATCCACACACATTTTAATCCAGATTAAATGTATTGGTTATGCACAATAATATACCCTTCCATAGTGCAAGTCAGAAAACGGTTCAATAAAGCTGGAAATAATAACATAGTCTGCGAACAGGCTCCCGGCGAGGACGAAAAAATTTCGGCGAGCGCGAAATAGAAGAATTCGGAGAGCAAAGCGATCGGGGCGGGGACAGGGGAGCCTGTAGACTTTGTTTTTGATTTGCCTATCTTTTGTTTTGTTTTTCTTTTCTCTTGTTTTTGATAAGCCTGTAACAAATCAGTCACTGAGGTAATTAGACCTGTCAAGAAGCTACATTTTCGGTACTCGCAAACAGTTCTAATCGAGCTAATCAAATAGCCGGGCCGGGCGTCATAATACAGAGTGCAAGTAAGCAACATGTCCATGGAATATTTCAAACTTAACTTTGTCCCTCCCCTGAGCCAACACTTAGAGAGCTTAAAACATATTTGCAATACTGAAATGAGCCTAAAGAAATTATAAGCACATGATAGAAGTGTCAAACTCTGCGAAGCGACAAGCAGATAACCGCGGAAAGTCCGGAAACCATGCCTTTGACCCCCAAAAATATTGCTATAGCACCGCCAGGCTCCACTCCACTAGCTTCTACTTAAAATTCCTCCTCGTAACAGAGCATAAAGTGCCCTTCAGAATCACTTGTGAAATAACGAGAGGTCGAGAGACCGAAACTTAAAAGAGAACGGCAAATGCACTACTGTAACGAACCGCTGGAGTCGTATAATGTTACAAAGATTTGTCAAATATTCGCCTCAAAGATGTCAACAATCAGCGATTTAACCAATCATATCATGATACCAGGAGCTGGTATCATAAAACGG